GGGCACAGCCATCTGTTAGCTAATTAAAACATGAACTGGGGGCCATTATGTAACTGCTTAAAAACGATTAATCCTACAGAACCCCATAGGAAATGCTGCCTGTTGTAACATGTGCTAAAGATAATGGAGGTTATCTGCACGTTTAGGCAATACATGACAGGTTGTTTACACATAACATGATAACTAAAAGCATTTATACCAAGGGCTGTTTTTTTTTTTAAATAATCACTCTTATCACATAAGACATAATCTATTGCACAGGCAAATCCTTGTTTATTTTTTTCATTTTTTATTTACTTTTTTTTACTAGGATTTTTAATACATGTTTTAATTTGTTTGTGTTATATTTACAATTTGTATCTTTTTTAGTGTTTTTTTGTCTTGAGAATTTGAAAATTGTAGGCATGTTTAATAATGGAGGTGAAAAGGTAGCATTTTTACTTACTCCAAAACATACGCTACAACAATAACCTAGCGTTAGCAGTCTCCTTATTGTTTGCTTGTAGCAAGGATGCACAATGCTGCCAACAAAAGGTTTAGTGATTTTTCAGTTTGCCGTCTGAAGCCATACGTTTCACCTCTCACAGTATTTGCCTCTAACAGGTGGAGAAATATGTTGTTTTCTTCCAAGATGTATTCGTTTGACATTTGGGCAAAATTGGTCATTATATGTCTGTCAAAGGTTGTTTCCAAGACCTACATCCATATATATAAAACAATGCTTGATTAAGAATCAGTTAATCTAAATGTTAATTTAAAATGCACACTACAGATTACACTGACATTTACCAGAGGACATTAGGGTCTAAAGGACCTTCAGTTTTTGGTTTTTGTACTGAAACAAAAACAACTGAGCCTGAAAAAAATTAATGCACTTGAAAGTACTTAATACTATATACCAGGTATCACCAACTATATTTGTCCGAGGGCCAGAATGTTTCTGGACGGACATCTTAGGGGCCGAACACTCAAATAAAATTAAACACAAATCGCATTTGGTCAAGCGTCATTATTTGATGCTTTTCTTTTAGAATCCAGTAGCATGTTAAATTTGGGTGGTTAGTTGAGCTGGATTTGGCCAACCGGCCAGTTGATTAACATTAACATTTACTTACTATTATTATTATTATAACTGCAACTTTTAGGCAGCTTTTTGCAATGATGTTTGAATCTTAAGCCACAATGATGAATTACTCTTCCTATTTAGGGACAACTGATTTTGCTAACATACTGTACAGTGCTTATGGTTATGACACTCTAGTGCCTCCACACGTTGGGTTAGGGTTAGTGTGTGTGTGTGATGTTTTGCCTTAATATTTAAGAGATATTGTGCCATTATTTATAGTATAGTAACTGAGACTGTCTCCCTGCAACCAGTGGCAAATATAATGTATCTTCTTATGGCTTCACTTCACCAGATTTAACAAACAAATTATACTCTTCATACAGTAAAACACAGAGATACTCACCACCTAATATGTCAGGTGTAGATCTGGAAAAAAAAAACTACAACTAGGTATTTTACTTTTCCAGTAATGTCTTTGAACTTCGAAGCTAATTTTAGGATATAAGATGGAAATCCTTGGCATGTATAGATATTTAGTAAATCCAGACCAGGAAATTAGATGATGGTTCTGGTATTTTATTTACCTGTTAGCAAGCAAGAAAGGGTGTCAGTCTCAGATGTCAAAGCACCCTTTAAATGTTAGTGGACTATACAGAAAGAACACATTATTTTTAACGTTTGGGTCATTAACATGTATATTTTTATCTGTACAAATCACTGTATGAGTTGCTGCCACCTGGTATCTATCTATCTATCTATCTATCTATCTATCTATCTATCTATCTATCTATCTATCTATCTATCTATCTATCTATCTATCTATCCATCTATCTATCTAATCTGTGAATATAACTTAAGCGTATACTGCATATTCATTACAGAGTACAGTAGTGATGGGATAACCGACTCTTTTTATTGATTCGAATCTTTGACTCTCGAACAATGAAATGAAGGAGTCGTGAACGAATTTTGAACTAATCGTTTCATTCGTTTTACAGCAGGTGGCGCTTTGGCCCTTCTGTGGGCATTGTAAAGAAGGCTGCGGTTCTCCGACACTAAATACTGAAGGCAACATGGTTTGCTTCCGCTGACAAAGTCTACAAAGTACACAAAATGCCTTAAGCAATTAAAACCATGCTAAAAGCTAAGAAATAAAAACACACCACAATGTGAAGATGAATGAGAGCAAAAGAGACCCGCGCTCTCTGTCACGTGACAAATGAAACGAATCTGCGAGAACGAAGCGAAAGATTAGTTAGCAGAGAATGATCCGTTCATAGTGATTAGTTCACAGCGAAAGATTAGTTCACGGCGGAAGATTAGTTCACAGAGAATAATTCGTTCACGGCGAAAGATTAGTTTGTAGAGAGTAATTCGTTCGTAGTGAAAGATTAGTTCGCAGAGTGTGATTTGTGAGTGATTCGTGAGCTAATATGAACAAATATTTCATATGACTCGGGAGTCACGAGTCACGAATCTTTCATGTGACTCGGGAGTCACGAGTCATATGAAAGATTCGTTCATTTTGAACGAATCACTCGCGAACGACACATCAACTACCACAGAGGGTTGCTGTGAGAACCTCACTGCCACTGCCTGTCACTGGTGTGAGTGGCGATCCATAGTCAAGTGTGCCATATGTTTTTTGTGTTACTTATTGCTTTCCCATTCCCAATAAAGTGGCAGAATAAAAATGTTTTGCAGGTCCCAGGTTGCAGCTACACTCAGCGGTAGTCACTGAGCTGTGGGGCTGCTGTGGTGACAAATGGCACCACATATTTTACTACTGCCATTTACAATGCATGATCCAGACTGTGCTGCTCAAATGACTGTGCAGTGACACTGTTGAGAGTTAGGTCTGCCAGACAGCCCTGTGTGCTTGTGGGCTGCAAACACACTCACTCACACAAATTGTTTTGTGTTTTCAGCCAGTCCCATTACATTTTTATTGATGGAAATTTCAAGATTCTAAGAAGAGAAGAAATTAAGCATAGTTCTACATTTATAAAGTCATTGTGTACTGGCAATGGGTTGAGGGTGTTCTCCCCACTATTTTTAGTTAATTTAAACTGAACCTTTCTGTGTTTAAGCCTGTACTGCAGTTGGTTTTAAGTGGTAACACTGAAGACTGGACTTAAACAGCCAAGATCAGCAACAGTTTGCTGGCTGACCTCAACAAAACTGCTACTGGACAATATTTACATTAAATCACATGTAAAACATCAAAACATCTAGAATTTCAATCTCCATCCTTATTTACTGATATGGTATTAACACACACACACACATAATTAATTAATTTAAATGAAACTGCCACAGATATTACATTATTTTGTTTATGGTTGTATCATCTAATTTCTTTGATACATTTACAAGACAGTAGACAGTTTTCCTAAATCTATAAAATGACATTTAGAATGTGACTTTTTGAGATGATACCCCTGGCGCCCAGCTGGCTACACTTAACCACCACTAGAAGAAAAAAGAAAATTAAAAACCTTTACTGGAAATCTTTGCGCTTAGACCAATTTTAAAAACAAGGTATGGAGAATTTGAACAGTGAATTTCTAGGAATTTCTACAAATGCCCAAATTGACCATTTTCAGCTCATAACTTTTGGACAATTGAAATTTATTGTCTTGCTCCCTCATATATATTCAAGTACAAGAAGCAAACACAATAAAAACACCTTCTTTTAGAAGCCAGTAAATATGTTAATCCAGATGTTGTTCCAGATCAGCAGATAATTTTCCTACACGCCCCCCCACCACTCCCCTCTCCCCCTGAGAACAGAAATGTTTTCACAAACAGAGTTCCCCCTCAGGGACCCTGCAGTTTTTACATTAAATAAGATCAAGTCTTGGGTTGCCTGTATTCCCTTCCTGTTTTATCTGCTGGGTGGAGTTCGATCACATTCGTCTTCTCCATCAATCTGTCTTTGTGGGGTAATTTTTCTGTTTATTGGGTAGTTTGTGAGCCATGTTTTTGGAGTTTATGTGTGTGAAGAAAGTGAGTTTTGTTGTTTTTGCACCTTGTTATTAAACCTGCTGCACCTGAGAAGAGTGTCCCTTGTGCTGTATTTGGGTCCTACCTGAGGATGGTAGCACGTAACAAAGACTACAAAAAGACTCAAAATGGGAAACACAATCAATATTGTAATGTGGTTATATTAACAATACAAAGTACAAAAGTATGTGTTTTATAATCAGTATTTAACACCAAGATAACACTGTAAGTGTTTTGCCACAATAGGGAGGGGGGACTCTCTTTTAAAAGGAAGGAATCTCCAGCAAATTCAGACTCAATATAGCTGTCTGCCTCCAAGCATTCAGACTAAGTTAATCACTGTTAACGGTAGAGTAAAGCTCAGTAACTGAATAAGATTAGAACCACTACATAGAACATTTACTAGCCCTTCACTTTGGTAATCATACTTAATTTCAAAGACAGTTATAAGCGATTAAATCAATTTAATATTGTGAATGCTATGGCATTGTAAGACATGTAAGAGGCATTTCTTCGTATTTGTTATTGTGGAGCCAAAGGGATTTTAATAATCATTTTAAAAGCAGCTGTATAACCACCAGGGCATAAACACTTTCTCGTTGTGTATATAATCATTATCAGACGTCAGTTTAACTTTACATACTGCACTCAGTCTGCAGTAAAGTGAATAGAGTCGGAGCACATACAGAAAACTCGTCACTGTGGCTCCTTCTGCAGATTGAGCGGAAGTGGCCGTCAGGGGGCAGATGAGCTCCCTATGTCGATCCGCACCGGCAGGAGCTGGCGCCCAGGCTCAGAAGAGCGCAGACTGTACTGAACCTGGATCAGTGGGACAGCAGGGAAGTTCATAAAGACTGTAGACAATACAGGAAGTTAACGGGAGAAAAACAAAAAATAAATATACAACTGCATGGTGGTTTAAATTAAAGAACATTCTGGAGAGTGTTTCAAAGTCTTAGAATTAAAGAAATGGCCAAGGGAGAAAGAAAATGTTAATTTAATTAAGACTGTCAGACAAAGTCAAACTTAGTGCTGCTATTGTGACCAGCGTCTCTATCTTTATGTGTGTTTTCAGAGTACGAGATGAGAAAAGAGAGAGACTGGGCTCTGGTGTTGCAGCCAGAGGGCGGTGGCATCTCTCTCTCTCTCTCTCTCTCTCTCTCTCTGCGTAAACTAGAGACTGGTGGAGGAGCAGAGCAGAGCACAGCGCACACGCTGAGAGGAGAGCCAGTGCTGTTGTCACTAGCCGACAGAACCTGTCGTTACTTTATTCCAAACACCCCTTACTCCCCCGCAGCTTCACCTGATCCTACACTGACGGGGCTTAAACTTGAGGACGTTTACCTTCCCCAGATTTTGTCTTTTGGACTCTTGATTGGTTACCAAAGGTCGCTAGTGGAAATAGGAGGCGGGGGGAGAGTGCTCACTGTCTCCCCCAACCGTGATCGGAGGAGTTTGTGATCGTTTTACGCACAGCTTGTAATGGGTAAAAGTGGAGAGAGGAGCGGAGGTAGACCCCGGGGAAGCTGGAAGAACAGTTGCAGCAGGAGCAACAGCAGCAGGAGCTTGGTGAGGATGTGCGCCACGCCGGCTTTCCCTCTCCTCCTCCTGGCGCTCGTTCGGTCAGGAGTTACCCAAGGTAAGGCTGGAGATGATGGGCTCCTCATCCAGACTCCTTCAGTGACACACATTGGCGTTTTCACTCGCTCATTTCTCTCTCTCTCTCCCTCTCTCTCTCTGTCACGACTCTTTCATTTCTACACTTTCCCTAACTTATTCTGCTACGGCTTATTTATGTGGCGCTGCTGTGGGTTTGAATGGATGCCTTCAGCGTGTTGTGGCGTAAACCACGTTTTTTTAAACTGTAATCACTGCCGAGCACAGACAGCCACTGGAGGTTAATTAACCTGAAGAAAAAACCGACCTCTCATACTTTAGGATGCAGACTGTGTGACTGTGGCGAGGTTGGCTCTAAGTAAACTTTCGATGAGCAAAATGGGTTTAGATCCACGACCATGCAGTGGTTTTCTATTGGAATTTGGATTGATGTAATTGTACAAATGGTGCTGCTAAATGAGGGTGAGAACAGAAAAGGGCAGAACTTACAAGTCCACCACCAGGAGGGCAGTGTGTGAGCGCGCAGCACTTTTACCAGAGAGGGTCGAGTCTCCACTTCACTGCTCCCATTGGAAAATTGATCACAAGTCACAAACACTCTGAGCCTTGACCACCGAGATACAGGCAATTATACCGAACCCCATGGTTAGAAACAGAAGAAGAATAGGACAAAAGTCAACATCATAGTCTGGGATCTGGACTCGACCTGTCAGAGCACATGTGGCGGCACCAGTGTCACGATGTTAACATGACACTGGTGTTGAGTAGAAGAATAACGGGGATAGGGGAAAAACGTGATATAGAGTTGCCTTGTACTGCGTTATATTTGTATTTGTTAGTGGCTGGGAGACATTCTCAGTGTAATTGGCTTCTTCCTGGAAAGAAAAAAAAAACATTAATATGACCAACACTTTTGTTGTTTTATCAAGTTGATAAATTCACCGTCTTCCTCCTTATGGCCCCAGTAACTCAAGTTTGACCTTATCACGGCCAATTATTGTAATTTTCATCCCTTGTTAAGTAAAAAAAAAAAAAAAAATGAATCCCCTACCAGGGTCATGAATTACTGCCATCTTTACACTCCATTATACAGCTAATATTCCACTTGAAAGCCCCTGAAAGGACACAGAGTGTCATCAGCACTCTTTTCTTCTTTTTACTGATTAGCCTGGATTTGTCTGTGCTGAATTTGGGCAGTAATGGACCATGAGGCTGCTTCTTCTGCCTGGTGGAGCTGAATCCCAACATCCACCAATTTTCATTATGACCTCTCACTGTGGGTTTGCTGTAAAATCAATATGTTGCAATTTAAGGAAAACATTTTTTAGCAGCCTTTTACCTAACTCTGATAAATAGCACCTCACCACCGACATGTAACTCAATTTACTTTCAGCAGAACAATCTGATAATTGGAAAGTAAACATTTTAGTTTTTAAGGTGGACTTTACTTTTTTTCCCTTGCCGCTTCCCTACCCCCTCCTTTTTTTCTTTTCTGCTCCTGTGTTTTAGGATTTGTAAATCTTAGACCACTCTTGTGTTGTTCTGCTTTTGTTATTGTGTGTTTTTTCCAACCTGACTCACTGCTCTGGAGGTGTTTCTTTTTTGTGTGAGGAGTCACCCCATTAGCTGCTCGATTGAATGGGGCAGAACACACCAACGCATTGACCTGTGGGGAACAGTGGGGAAGTGGATTACTTTGTTTACATAGCTGATCCTCTCTGTACATCAGCACTTTGTTCAATTCCCTGTCCATTAGGTACAAACCAGTTTCCATGTGTGTGTTTGGTCATTGAATAGTATCATCCTGTTTATTTATTCAACTTGTTTGTTGTTTGTTGAGTATAATAGCTGTTGTTTCATTGAGCGATGATGACAAATGATGTTCAAAACGATGATGTGTGGGAAAATAATGACGCTGCCTGTGATTCAAGTCTAATAAATAACAATAATTCAACTTAATTCAATTTAATCCCAACAAGATGCCGTCTTCCTTTTAATAAATGTAACATTTTATTTAATTAAATTTGAATTTTGAATTTTTAACATTTAATTTGCTTTGCAGTGCTATTGTAGGAATTGTGTACACACAGACACACTAATGAACATGTGCACACACAATGAGAGGTGAGTGTTGATTGAGATCCTCTCACGCCAGCTCAAGTGCATGTGTCGGCCCCATCCAGCAGGGCCCGACCCTCAGGCCGTTACATTCTTTAAAAAGCCATTATCTCTTATTAAATCTAAAATAATTGAGTGAACATATTGAACAAGGGAGTTTGGAACTTTTTTTTTTGTTAAGATCATAGAGCTGCTTTCTTGTCAGTGTCCACGACTTAGCTCTGGAAGTGAAAGCTAATGATTGTCAGTGTAAAAATAATGTCGTAGTTCTAAATGCTAAATTTTTATTCAATTACATAGCCTATAAATAAGTAAACTGAATCGTTATAAAGGCTTTGAGAAAAACAATTACATGTCTGCAGTACTTATGAATAAATTCAGAAGTCCACAATCAAAGCTCTGATCAACAAAGTTTGTTGACCTCTTGGATTGTGCCTTGGAGGCCCTGTCGTTGACTATGACTATGTTTGAGTTCTACATCACGTTTGTGTTGATTTACCATACTTTTATTCCCCTTTTGCAAACATTTGCTTTGATAACTTTATAGACATTTTGAAAAAAACAAAAACAAAACATGTTATCATTGTTTACCTAGGAAGGTATTTGCCAACCTGCTGCTGCAGAGGTGTAAAAATGTTCTACAAGTGCTGTGTGTGTGTGGGTGTTCGTGCTAGCTGTTCAATATGTGGGAGACTGTGTGATTTCATACGTGTGTGAAAAATGGCAGTGCAATGGTTTTTCAGAATAAGCTCACATGGTGTTTAATTTCATGTGCACACACACACGCACAGACTTGGTGTCATAATGTTGCCAGAGCTCCCACACTGTCTTCCATTATGCTGTGATCCTCGTCCCGTGGCGCACTGCGATCGTCCAGTATTCTGCACATGCAGTTGGACAGCTGGGAAATATTGCAAACAAAATGGGCCAACTCGATTGGCTGTGCTACATCTGCCAACATAATCTCATTGGCTGTGGTGGTTTTTCATGCATTGGACTTGAGGCTGTTTCCGTATTACAAAAAAAGCAGGGATGGATGAGGGAGAAATCTCTCTGGCTGCTCTGTACCAGCTTTCACCACTTCTCTTGGACACCAAAGACATGCACGCACACACATACACACACGGGCACAGAGTGGAAGATTTTTCACACAGCAAAATAACTCTTTGGACAAACAATGCTTCTTTTTATCCGAATTCTCTGCATTTGTCTGAATGTGAGGCTCCTAAAATGTGCATTTGTGTGTCTGGACAGGCCTTTATAGGCGTGTGTCAAAGGCAGTCTTTGACTGCCTGGAGATGTTTTGTGCAGAAAACCCTTCTGCTGTTGGTGGCATAGTGATGTCACGTCTTCTTCGTGTGTTTTGCCGTATCATTATTAATTGTTTTTATGTATGTTATCATTGCTTTTCAATAAGTTCTCCTTCTTTTCTGTGTGACATTAGAGCAGCTAACAACTCTTATTTATCTTATTAAAGTGTGTAATTAATAGGTTGTGTTCTCTTGCAGCTACTGTGTATGGACAGAAGTGGACGCTTGTTGGTTTTCCCTCTGGCTGCTTGGGCTTCATTTTACCTCTTAAATGGCAAATACAGACAGACTTATTTTATGAATCAAGTTTGGATAATGTTTGTTTAAAAATGTAGACTTTATGGAAATCATTTGGATATAAGAAAGCAGTTATGTAGAGAAACTGCATTTACACATTTACATGAATTACTCTCTATTTCCAGGGTGGGGAAATGGAAGGTAGATGACCAGAATGCATTCTTGTGTACAACTGCCTTGTCTCACTATACATGCTTGGCTTTGCATTTGTAAATGTGCACATTTAGAAAGACAACTGGGCCACAGAAAAGTGAAGCTTAATGTTGTGAAACGATTCCCAGCGCCTTCCGCTGTTGGGCCTAATTCCTTCTAAGGTTTCATGTAAAGATCTGGAACTATGAATTTTTCATGCCCTTTGAAACCCAAGACCTCATTTGAGGCTCTCATTTCCAAGCTTTTTGTTTTAGTTAGTGAAGTCTGTGTGTGTGTGTGTGTGTGTGTTGGTGGACAGAAGTTCTGAGAAAAAGCAGTTTGTTCCAAATCGATGGCCTACTATATAGTTCCCATAGGTTTCAGGCTGCTCTGCTAGAAATTATGTTCTTACTGTAATGCAGTGCAACTACACAGATCTGGGATATCTATGAAATACTAGTAAATGGTATCAATCTGTCTATTTTTAACGTTTTCTGTTAAATGTTTGCTTTTTGGTGGAGCTGAAGGCCAATCCTAGTGGATAAAAGCCAACATTCACTGTGACACTTTTAGCCAGTCTGTCAGGGGGCATACATACACTGACACAAACAATTAAACTTAATCTCATTAAGAACAATTTAGAGTATCCACTTCACCTAATCTCTCATCTTCTTGCTTCAAATGTGGGTGAAACCGAAGAACCCAGTAAGAACACATGCACACATGCCAAGAACATGGAACCTCTACACAGAAAGGCCCATGACCGGGCTGGAATGTGAATTGCTGACCTTCTTGATGTGAGGCATTAAATACTAACAGCAAAGGCAGGGTCTCTTTGCAACAATAGTAGTATTGTGGCAATTCACATGTTTTGTGCATTAAATGTTGTTTTTTTTAATTTAAAAATCAAATATATGTGTCTATATATATATATATACATATATATATATGTATATAGTGGTGCTTTGGCCCAGAGGCAATGTCTCTGTCATTGGTGTGGAACCCCAGGGCTCACCTCCTGGGGAGGTTCGAATCCTGGTTAGGGTGGTTGGTACCTTCCAGTGGACTCACCACCTGCAGGAAGGTTTGGGGGGTTGGTACGGTGCAGTGTGATTTGGGTGGCGACTGCTGCCCCCGCGACCCGGTCACGGATAAGCTGATGAAA